CAGCTACTCATCCATGGAAACCCATTCCATGAAGTTCTCTACGCTGTTGTGCTAATCTGAAGACCACACAAAGTTTGGAGGTCTTTAGCTATTGATTCTGCAGACAGTTGGCAACTTCTGCACACTGTGTGCTTCAGCATGCGCTGACCCCACTCTGTCTTTTTCCGTGGCCTACCACTTTGCGGCTGAGTTGCTGTTGTTCCCAGTTGCTTCCACTTTGTTATAATACCACTAACAGCTGACCGTGGAATATTTAGTAGAAAGGAAATTTTCTGGATGGACTTATTGCACATGTGGCAAGCTATCACGGTACAGCCCTTGAATTCAGTGAGCCCCTAAGAGTGACCCACTCTTTCGCTAATGTTTTTGGAAGTAGTCTGCATGCCTAGGTGCTTAATTTTATACCTGTGCTCATGAAGGTGATTGGAACACCTGAATCCAATGATTTGGAGGGGGTGTGCCAATACTTTTGGAAATATAGTGTATATATGCTCATAGTTGGGAAATTCAGTTCAGAGTTAGGGACCACATTTGCCTTCATGTTCATTGACACATTATCATCATAATTATCAAAACTTTAATGAAAAGCACAAAGGATTCTGGGACTTGCAGTTCCAAACTCATTAAAGACACCACAGTAAGCTCTACTAGGGCACTAAGCTCTATAAAAAGTAATCACCAAAAAAGTATTCAATTGAACTGCATATTTTAGAAAAGCCAATCTTCAGAATGCAGTTTCAACTGCATTATTTAGGAGAAGAAATGCAATTACTAGTTTAAAGTGAAATTAATCACAGAATTTATTTTAAAAAATATACCACCCACATCCAGTATGGTTCATTAGTTTCAAGGATAATGACTTATTATCTTCATCACAGATCCCCACCCACTGTGTCCTACACTATTCCTCACACATAGACACATTAGTCATTCACATCAGTCTAATAATGGGCTGGCATTTGTCTCTGTCATATGTTCTACATTTCTTGCGTTCTCTGATGTGTTAACCCCTTGCCTGTGCCTCATCAGGTATTCTACCCTGGAGGAGTTTTAGAGATGTTTGGCAGGGAGTTTAAAACAACTATTATGTGCATGCTTCAACACTTCGAACTAGAAAAAAAGGAAGCTAGTGGGGATAGAATGACTTAAAGCAAATGGGTTCAACATTTAAAGTGGGGCTTACTAAAAAAAAGTAATGGAAGCACTGAAATATTTACTTTTCTGATGAAAAAGCTACTCCAAACTCATTACAGCATTATTATACGTGAGACCAAAAGGGGAGGAATTTCTGTTAAAGAGGAAAGTCAGAGGTAGCAGAGATCACATGATCTAATGCTTACGTATTTGGTAATATACCATGTTTCCCTAAAAATAAGACGGGGTCTTATATTAATTTTTGCTCCAAACAATGCACTAGGGCTTATTTTCAGGGGATGTCTTTTATTTATTCATGTACAACAATCTACATTTATTCAAATACAGTCATATCATCTTCTTCTGGAATATTGTCACAGCTCTCCATATTCAAACCCTGAATTCCAGCCTGGATTTCTCAACTCCAATTCCTTTAGAACAAATGGTCAGCAATCTATTCACAGATGATGTCTTCTAGCTCAGGAAATAATGGTTGCCGACCTGATCCACACTTACGCTTCTATGCACTCATCTTGTCCACGGTTTGCAGCTTATGACATAAACAGTGATGTACATGAAAATAGGAGTATAGTACTTTTAAGCTGATCTTGACTAGGGCTTATGTTTGGGGTAGGGCTTATTTTACAGAGCAGCATGAAAATCGTGCTAGGGCTTATTTTCAGAGTAGGTCTTTGTTTTGGGGAAAACATGGTAACAGGCATGAAGAAAGGATGCAGCCACATTTCTTCTGGAAAGGTAAGTATTTTAGTCAATAATTACCCAGGAGAAAGACAGTCCTGATGTATGTAGTAAGCAGGGGCGGACTGACAACTCATGGGGCCCTCGGGCAATATGGGATCATGGGGCCCCTGTGTCCTTGCCCAAACTCAAAAAAGCCTATGAAAAAGGTACCAGGGGCATCTCATGGGGCCCCCTACTAACCCTGGGCCCTCAGGCAGTGCCCGAGTTTATAAATGGTCAGTCCGCCCCTGGTAGTAAGTCACTGGCAGTCATTGATTAATGTCAGGTTTGCCCATTTCTAGAAGCTAGAATGTAAAGGGAGGGTATTTTCTCATAACCATAGTCTTATCTAATCATAAAAAAATCATCTGGTCACTGCCCTGGTTATATCAGCCAAAAGAATACCATAGAGTTTAGATAGATATGGAAGAACATCAACTTAACATCCTCATAAGAAATCAAAAGGGGAGATATCATATTGCTTCCCCTGAACCATGCACAAGCAACACTAATACTCCATACAGAGTGCTTTTTTGCCCCCAAGAATCTTATAAGTGAGGTGCATACAAATTTAGTGCATGCTGAAAAGAGGCAAAGAATCTCTGTAAACCACACTTTCAGCACAAAAAGTACAGAAGGCATGACAGCAAAGTATTCTCAGCTAATGTTTATATGAAGGACAAAATGCTGCATTGAGGGTTTCATCTCTTCCGATCTCAAAGCTTGCTATATTTGCAGTTTAGCCCAATGTAGACTGGATAGGTGATCAAAGTTTTAGTTTAGCAATCGAAGCACTAGAGAATAAAGATATGAAACAAGTGCTGCAAATGGTTTTCATCTCAGCCATTTTATTAATTTATGTCTAACTGCTGAAAGAACTATCTGAAAATCGAAACATTTAAGCATTACATAGCATAACCAAAGCTGTAAGGACAATCCTAATATAACCCCTCCTACTTCTAGCAAACCTCACTTTTTTAGCAAGCAACAAGGAATAAATCATAAGGAACAGAGGAGGGACATGTGCCCTGTAATGTAAAGAATTTTATAGGTAGGTTAAAAATCCTATTTTCTTAACCATATATTACAGGGCACAGGATCGGAACATGTGAAACAGAAGATCAGATAGCAGCATATCTGGAAAACAGATGCGTAATTCTGAAAGATCCATGAACCACTAACAGATTTTGTGGGATGTGCCCCTGCAGTCTGCGTTCTCTAAAAGGAGTAATAATGATTTCTTTGATCTTCCTTTCTGCTGGTGTCTTCCCCAACCCTCTAAAACATGCACTGGTCATTCCAATACTTAATAAGCCCTTGCTGGACCCCACCACTCCTAACAACCTAAGACCCATCTTCTTTCTTCATTTTACCTCCAAACTTTTTGAATGCCTAGTCTACAACCACTTGCGATTGAGAATAACCTTGATCTCCTTTGGTCTGGATTTCGCCCACAACACTCCACAGAAACTGCTTGCCTAAAACCCACAAGCGACCTACTAATGGCTAAAACCAATGGTCACTATTCTGTAGTCCTACTCTTGGACCTTTCTGCTGCCTTTGATACAGTTGGCCATCCCCTTCTCCTCAAAAAACTCTATTCCCTTCATCTCCATGACTGTACTTTTATCATCTTATCTATCTCACTGCACCTTCAGTGTCACCTGCAATTCTACCTCCTCCTCTCCTTTTCATTTTTTCTGTTGGAGCCCCCCAATGGAGCTCTCTTATTCTCTTATTATCTTCACCTCCTCTCAGTCAGCTGCAGCCTCGCACAGCTTCCAATACCATTTCTATGTTGACAACACCCAAATCTATCTTTTTACCCCTCAGCTCACCCCATTATCTCCACGTATTACTAATTTACTAACAGACCTATCAATATGGATGTCATACCATTTCATCAAATTCAGTCAATGCATAACTGAGCTCATATTTCCTCCCCCATGTGCCACTTCCCTTGACTCTGTCGAAATTAATGGGACAACTATCAGTCCATCTCCACACGCCAAGGTGCTAGGCGAAGTCTTGGACTCTGAACTCTCCTTCAAGCCCAATATCCAATCACTGTCTAAATAATGTCATCTCAACCTCTGCAACATTGTCAAATTATGCCCCTTCTTAACCAAGGACCCAAAAAAGCTTCTAATTCACCCCCTGGTTATCTCTCACCTTGACTACTGCAACTCCCTCCTCATTGACTTTACATAGGCTCTCTCCCGTTCAGTTCATCATGAATGCTGCTGCCAGACTCACCAACCTTGCTAAACCACTCTTCTACCTCATTTTGCCAATCTCTCCATTTGATTCCACTCACCCAATGAATAAAATTCAAAACACTAACAACAATTTACAAAGTCATCCACAACTGCTCTCAGCTACATCACTTACCTTGTCTCAAAATACCAACCAAATTGTTATCTTTGGTCCTCACAAGACCTCCTGCTCTCTAGCGCCCTCATCACCTCCTCCTATGCTTACCTCTAAGACTTTTCCAGAGCCTCTCCCATCCTCTGGAAATCTTTACCCAAATCTGTTTGACTATCTGCTACTCTATCCACTATTAGCGATTCCTGAAAAACAATAGTCTTAGAAAAAACCTATCCTTCTTCTAACTAAACATTTTCTATTTATTTTCACCATCAGCTCATCCCCCTCAGTTATTACCTTTTGTCTCAATTGACACTCCCCCCCTTCCTCCTTTAGATTGTAAGCTCCAGGGCTCTCTGTTTCCTGTTATACTGAATTGTATTGTAACTGTATTCTCTGCCTTTAATGTGTAAAGATCTGTGGAAAATATTGATGCTATATATATATCCTGTATAATGATAACAATAATAATCATTGGTAGGTAAATTATGAATGAATCCTCTAAGCCTCCGTTAATAATAATGAAGAACAAGTGTAATAGACAGGCACAGAACACTTGCTGCCAAAGAGGCTGCTGTGATCCATGCAAAAGGTAACACATGTAGCTCACAAGCCATTCTTAAGAGACCACTGGCATTTAATGCTAGTACTTTATGCATTTTCAATAGGAACAAAGTGTTTTGTCTTTCATTGGAAACAACAACACAACCTCCTTCCTGTATTCCCCTAGCTTGGGTCCTATTGGTTGTACTCACATGTCTGTAAAAAAGCGCTCCTTTTGGGTTCTTGTCAAATGTTGATCTTTTTGGAAAAAGTGGATTTCGAATTACTCTGTACTTTACAGGTTTGCATGCTGAGCAAATAGGATTAAGAGGTACAGATACTAGAAGAGCTGCATCTATCTCCATTCTTGCATCAAATGTGTAAATACGGACTGTAGACACGTTCTGGTCTGTGGTCAGCCTGATGGTCAGGGGAGTATCACAGAAGGCCTCCATTCTTCCCAGGTGCAACGATTCATTATGTTCCGTCACTAACTCAACATCAGACAACGTGGTGGGCACATCAGTGGATAGGTAAGTTATCCAAATGGTGAGGGTCTGGGGTTGGACAGCTTTTAGAAAGTTGAGCTCCAAAATACAGCCCAGTGGCTGAGTACAAGGGACTGACATATTAGTATTGAAGATGTGAAGCTCAGGACTCCATGCTTGTAAGCTTGGCTGGCAAGGTTGGTCTACATCTGGAGGACCTATACCAAAAAGGACAACATATTAAGTACTTTCCAATTATTTTGCCAACTGCAATAAATTACCAAAATGCATCTACCAGGGCATTTGTACATACTACATTACTAGATATTTTACATGCTTTCAATTTACTACTGGTGGCAAATGAAACTTGAGCATACAACCAAACTACAAATATCACTTATGAATAATTATCTAGTACCTGAATAGGGCAACACAATCAATATTAAAACAGAGCAAAGCCAAAACTTTTCTTTTTTAGTCTGAATTAAGAAAGAAAAGGTCTATTTGCATACGGAGTATTACAAAATCCATACCAACAGCTTCTTCCGGGGTCCAGTAACCAGAGTTGTCACATACACGAGGAGAGGAAGCTTGGTAAGCATATTGTTGGAAAGACCCATCAGCAGCACAAAAACTCACACATAGTTCCTACCTCTCTGCAGAAGAGAAACAAAAAAATCTTTCAAGTTTTTTGAGAACCAGATACAAATACAGCTTTAAAAAATGTTGCAATTAATAAGAAATGATAACCAATAATACAGGTACATATGCATTCCAAAACAATATTGCTAATTTATGTTGTACCAGTAATATCTACCATGCTTTACTGATTTATGCTGCATGGTAAATGTTGTGGCAGTTTTTAAAATCTGTATCATTATCAACTCTGTATTAATAAAGTTTTGCCAGGTTCACTATTTTATAAGCACAATGCAGACATTGCCACAATGTAGACAGTGAAATAGTTTGGTATATTTGTTTTACATATTTGAGTACATGTGGCCTGGTGGGAGCCTGGGCTTCACACCAGACCTTAAAGCTGAACTCTAAAGAGGAACAAAAGATACAAATTGCTGTATTTATGAATGCATATTTAAATGTATTTTATTTTTATAGTACAACCAGTGTAAGCATCTGAATGGTATCAGTCTCTTGCAGTCACTGTAGAGCAACACTCTACAGTGTGTCTCAACATTGGTAGAGAAGGAGAAGCAGCAGAAGGAGCTAATGAGTTGTGCTGCAATGCGCACGTGATAACAATAAACATGTGGAGGAGACAGCAGCATGATAGAGAGATGAATTTGTCAGTCTGCTGCTTCTCTTTTCACTGTCCAGTCACAGGCTGAGTGAATGACAAGACCTGTAAAAAGCAGCCTGCAATGAAAAGTATTCGGCTGCGGTGTCAGCCTACATGCTGGTATGCAAATAACGTCACACAGATACTCCGCCCAGGGCAATGACATCAGACAGAGACTCTGCCCAGGGTGGATGCTGCTTTTTTTCCATTCACCTAAATATAAGTGCAATACAATTTTTAATAAAAGATTGGTTTTAACTTTACTGCACTATGAGACATCTCCTTGTTTTAAAAACCTTTTATATATAATTGTGGTGAGTGACACAAGATGCTAGAGCCGATTCCTGGTGTGACCATATACTCCTTTCATGATCGTATTTATCCTTCTGAGGGTCTAACAGTGAGAGTGCCAACCTAGAGTTTGGATATACACACTTTTTTGATCTCTAAAGCTTGAAATATTTTCAGTCTGGTAAGAGGCCTGTCTTTCTTTAAAGTGCCCTTTTGAGCACAGGAGCATGTTATGTGAAGTTTTTCCATCACTTTTTTCATGATCAATTTTGGGACTTCTTTATTTATTCATTACATTTTTTGATTGTGAAGTTTATATTGATGTAATTTATTTGTACACTGTTTAGTTCACATTGAGATTGATTTTTAGTATTCAGGTATTTTAGTTGCAGCAGTCCACATATACAGTATACATCTTTTTTTGGCTAAATGCAGAGAATATATATTTTTTACACAATTCTTAGTGCTGCTTCTTAACCCCAGTCCAGCAAATTATTATGATTAAAAGTCTAACCCCAGCCAATTTTTTGGATAGTGTGAAAGTTAACATTTGTAACAGGTTTTTTTTCTCTGTGATCCCACTGGGGAGATTTTCCATCACTTCATATCACTGTCAAATCTGCAAAGCAAGTAGGAATGAGGACATCACCAGGACAGGAAGGCACAGACAGCAATAAAACACTGGGGGGTATTTACTAAAACTGGAGAGTGCAAAATTTGGTGCAACTCTGCAAAGAAACCAATCAGCTTACAGGTTTTATTGTAAAAGCTTAACTTAACAAGCTGAAGTTAGAAGCTGATTGGCTATCATGCACAGCTGCACTGGATTCTGAGTGCTCCAGTTTTAGTAAATCTACCCCACTGTCAGAAGTGAGAAGAAATTCCCCCAACAGGTGCACAGCTGGCAATAAAATCCTGACATGGGTTCTAACCCTTCCCCGCTCTATTCAAGATAGATCATAACGTTCTGGCTGGAGTTTAACTTAAAAAGACTTACCATGCCATAACAATACAAAATACACAAAGTAAGACTTTTTTAATGCCATCTAATTTAGTTCAGTTATAGATATAAGCAAATATGTTTCAAGTATTATAAAACCTTAACATTTTAACTTGTATCCCAAGCAGGCACTGGTAGTCATTTTTTAGTGAAATTTAGTTTTTTATCAAGCATTCAATTTAAACAGTCTTTGCATGCTACCTTTCATAGAGTTCTCCACTGATAGGAGGTAGCCAGTGAATAGTGAGAGAATCCATGCTCTGCTTAACAACTATTGGTGCCAAAGGAATAGGTGAAGGTTTGTGAGTCCGAGTCCATCCTTGATATTTGAGATCGAGGTAACAATGCATGCGGGCAACTTGGTTTGGGGTAAAGCTGTTGGCACAGTCATCATCTGACATAGAAAAATGGAACAATAATTGAGGAGACCAAATTAAAAAAGAAGAAAAAAGCGCCACTTACAAAAAACACCAAAGTGTCAGCAGCATATCCCACCCAAAATAAATTTTGGCAACAATAATCCAAATTAAAAGGTATGCGCTAATAACAAACTTATACAAAAGTGTATGTCATCATCCAAAAACATTAGTGTTTTAAATAAATTAGAGTGTCCAAACATAAATTAGTGTCCAAAAAAAAATATATATATATCTTCAGTGACTTGAACCAATTGTGAGAAAATCCACCACCAAAGGAGATTAAATGAACTCACCAGAGCTAATGGCTGGTCAGATTATAAACCAGCAACAGCGCTTGTGCTCTGGGAGCAATGAACCCGATGTCCAAATAGATATGGTGATGTTTCAGATACTTCCAGATAATAATCACAGCCAAACAACTTTGCAGCCCAAGCTCTTATGATGAACTTCTCCACTGTCTCATACCTCCATGAGAGCATACAGTACAAAACAAGGTGTCCAACAGACACCAGCTTCAATCGCAAAAAAGGGTTGAGATACAGTTAACGCTCACCGCAGATCTCTCCCATACAGCACAGACCAGCAAGGCTCTCTAACATCCACATCAAATAGGCTACGCCCAACCGGTTTTGTCACACCGACGTCATCAAGGGGCGGTACAGATGGGAACGTCAGACAGCTCTTATAAATACCACCCTTCATCTACATAGTTTTAACACCCAGCCAATCACTGCGTTCCTAGTCTCCTTAATCACGCCGGCTAGAACAGGTGTTTCCCAATTTAATTATACATATACTCTATTATATAAACAAAAAAGCTAAATATATATACCCTGCAGGTTTGAATCAGCACAATACCGTTCTCCTTCAAAATCACCCACAAAAAATATAAATATAAAAACATAAATATATGCAGAAAAGCAATATATACCATCCTGTGCATGGCTCTTCAAACCACAGAAAAACCCTTAAAGGGCCATGCACAGAACTTAAAGCACAACTCTTCTCATACACAAAAAAATTAAAAAATATATATATATTTTTTTTTTTATAAAAATATAAACCAAATTAAAATAAACTATATATAACGATCACTACATGTAATCAATATTTTAAAATATTTATCTTAAAAATTAGTCAAAAAACAATTTAAATCAATATCTATGTTTAAACCTCTTGGTACTAAAGACTCCAATTCATATATCCAAAAAGTCTCCTTTTTTGATATTTCTTTAATCAGATCTGAACCCCTCCAATGACTTTTTACTCTCTCAATTCCCCATAAAATGTCGCTAAACTCGGATCACTATTGTGTCTTAATTTAAAATGTCTTGAAACACTATGTTTGTCAAACCCTCTCTTTATATTGTTCAAATGTTCATTTATCCTAGTCTTCAACTGTCTCCCTGTTCTTCCAACGTACTGAAAATGACACGGGCATTCCAAAACATAAATCACATGAGAGGAATTACACGAAATAAGTTGTTCGATCTTATATTCTTTCTTAGTTATATTTGAAATAAATTTCTTCCTCGATGTGGACGTTAGAGAGCATTGCTGGTCTGTGCTGCATGGGAGAGATCTGCGGTGAGCGTTAACTGTATCTCAACCCTTTTTTGCGATTGAAGCTGGTGTCTGTTGGACACCTTGTTTTGTACTGCATGCTCTCATGGAGGTATGAGAAAGCGTGGAGAAGTTCATCATAAGAGCTTGGGCTGCAAAGTTGTTTGGCTGTGATTATTATTATCTGGAAGTATCTGAAACATCACCATATCTATTTGGACATCGGGTTCATTGCTCCCAGAGCACAAGCGCTGTTGCTGGTTTATAATCTGACCAGCCATTAGCTCTGGTGAGTTCA